CACGGCGCAACTAGAGAACATTACCAACCCCTACGCGCCGTATTTTCCGCTGGCTGCCCCACCACCACAGAAAGCACTGAGCTTGGCTGAAACACCTGCATTTTGGAGCTGCCTTACTCAAGAAAGCAAAAAAGAGACCATGTTTGTATACAACTTTATAAGTCAATGATTTTTATTTATTTTTTACATTGTTTGCAAACTGATGTGACACGTATTAATATCAAAATAACATGCAAAACAGGCATTATTATTATTATTATTGTATTTCTTTTGCTAAAAATGTGTGGCTCAAAACATGTGGAGCTCTGCCCCACCTGCCCTGAATGACGGGTCGCCACTGTTAAAAGCACAACATTTTTCAATCAGACAGACATCACATGGACAAGGTCTGCAGCGAGACTTTGAGTTAAGCCATCATGTCAAATACGCCTTATTACACTACCAGTATCATTGTTGGGTGTCGTAGATGTTATGTTCACACACATAATAGATATGCTATATTGTCTGGTGAGCGCAATAACGTAACACCCTCTCCTTCAAAGCAGGAGTCAACAGTGCAGCACTGACTGAAGTATGATGATTACATCAGTTCAATGATTTATTTTGTGGTGGTGTCTCCTTGATCAGATGTGTTGTGATAGATCCTCCCTAGTAAAGTATAGCCATATCTTCTCTAAAGAAACCATTACATCCTGAATACGCAGCTGTGAGTTGGTTGCAACACAAGAGAAAAACAACATGGAGCAGTATAATTTCTCTTCTGTGTTGTGGCCAACATAGTAGTCATGACGGCAAGCATAGATTAATTGATGAATTGTGGGTAAATTGTGAAATAATGAGTAGTTATTTATGATGCAAGGTGAATTGTAGATCAGTCAGTCTGCCGTTGCCTGCTATTTTGGCTGCCATGTCAAACAAGCCCATCTCCAGTCCATCACCTGACAAATCTTCAGTTACCAATGCACTATATACAGACCAAACCTCTCTCTCCTCTCTGTGTTTTGCCTCAGTCTGGCTCCCACATGACTCAGCAGGAGCAGCAGGAGTTTACGGAGAGCCTGGAGGCAGCTCTGTCCTGGATGCAGGCCGTCCAGGAGAGGCTCCGGGTCAATGACAACACCCAGGGCCCCCGGGCTGCCCTGCAGGCAAGGCTCAGAGAGACAGAGGTGAGACCCAACCCTAACCACTGACACGGAACCCCAACCAGGGATGGTAATAAATTACTACAAAATACCCTAAAGACCAATGTATCAAAATATAATATAAGATACTTTTGTATTGTATTTAATTAAAATGTATGTATTTTAAAATACTAAAATACATTTGCAAGTAGTGGGCGTACAGCAACAACATTCTCAGTAACGGTTAGAGAAACTTTTTTGAATGCACTGGATAAGAGTGTCTGCTAAATGACCAAAATGTATATGTACAGTACCAGTCAAAAGTTTGGACACACCTACTCTTTCAAGGGTTTTTCTTTATTTTTACTATTTTCTACATTGTAGAATAATAGTGAAGACATCAACACTATGAAATAACATATATGGAATCATATAGTAACCAAAAAAGTGTTAAACAAATCTAAATATATTTTATATTTGAGATTCTTCAAAGTAGCCACCCTTTGCCTTGATGACAGCTTTGCACACTCTTGGCATTCTCTCTCAGGTAGTCACCTGGAATGCTTTTCCAACAGTCTTGAAGGAGTTCCCACATATGCTGAGCACTTGTTGGCTGTTTTTCCTTCACTCTGCGGTCCAAATCATCCCAAACCATCTCAATTGGGTTGAGGTCGGGTGATTGTGGAGGCCAGGTCATCTGATGTAGCATTCCGTCACTCTCCTTCTTGGTCAAATAGCCCTTACACAGCCTGGAGGTGTGTTGAGTCATTGTCCTGTTGAAAAACAAATGATAGTCCCACTAAGCGCAAACCAGATGGGATGGCGTATCGCTGAAGAATGCTGTGGTAGCCATGCTGTTTAAGTGTGCCTTGAATTCTAAATAAATCACAGACAGTGTCACCATCAAAGCACCATCACACCTCCTCCATGCTTCACGGTGGGAACCACACATGCGGAGATCATCCATTCACCTACACTGCGTCTCACAAAGACACAGCGGTTGGAACCAAACATTTCCAATTTGGACTCATCCGACCAAAGGACAGCATTTATTTGGCCAGCAATCTGAGGTGCAGTTAATTGCGGATTTCTGAGGCTGGTAACTCTAATGAACTTATAACTCTGCAACAGAGGTAACTCTGGGTCTTCCTTTCCTGTGGCGGTCCTCATGAGAGCCAGTTTCATCATAGCGCTTGATTGTTTGTGACTGCACTTGAAGAAACTTTCAAAGTTCTTGAAATGTTCCGGATTTACATTCCTGTCTTAAAGTAATGATGGACTGTCGTTTCTCTTTGCTTATTTTAGCTGTTCTTGCCATAATATGGACGTGGTCTTTTACCAAATTGGGCTATCTTCTGTATACCAACCCTACCTTGTCACAACACAACTGATTGGCTCAAACGCATTAAGAAGGAAAGAAATTCCACAAATTAACTTTTAAGAAGGCACACCTGTTAATTGAAATGCATTCTAGGTGACTACCTCATGAAGCTGGTTGAGAGAATGCCAAGAGTGTGCAAAGCTGTCATCAAGGCAAAGGGTGGCTACTTTGAAGAATCTCAAATATAAAATATATTTTGATTTAACACTTCTTTGGTTATTACGTGATTCCATATGTGTTATTTCATAGTTTTGATTTCTTCACTATTATTTTACAATGTAGAAAATAGTAAAAATAAAGAAAAACCCTTGAATGAGTAGGTGTGTCCAAACTTTTGACTGGTACTGTATATTTGAAAATGAACAACTGCAAAGCACACTGGGTATTGTCATTGGCCTTGTTTCGGGGCGGAGCTCATTAGAGTAATACTCAGCATGCTTTGCAATTGTTCATTTTTACATATACAGTACATTTTACATTTAGTTACAGTGCATTAGGGAAAATATTCAGACCCCGACCTTTTTCCACATTTTGTTACGTTACAGCCTTATTCTAGAATTGATTATTTTTGAAAAATCAATCTACCCACAATAGTCCTAATGACAAAGCGAAAACAGGTTTAGATTTTAAAAGAACAGAGTCTTCTTGGGTATGACGCTACAAGCTTGGCACACCTGTATTTGAGGAGTTTCTTCCGTTCTTCTCTGCAGATCCTCTCAAGCTCTGTCAGGTTGGATGGGGAGTGTCGCTGCACAGCTATTTTCAGGTCTCTCCAGAGATGTTTGATCGGGTTCAAGTCTGGGATCTGGCTGGGCCACGCAAGGACATTCACAGACTTGTCCCGAAGTTTTCATCAAGGATCTCTCTGTACTTTGCTCCGTTCATCTTTCCCTCGATCCTGACTAGTCTCCCAGGTCCTGCCGCTGAAAAACATCCCCACAGCATGATGCTGCCACCACCATGCTTCACCGTAGGGATGGTATTTGCCAGGTGATGAGTGGTGCCTGGTTTGTTCCAAATGTGACGCTTGGCATTCAGGCCAAAGACTTCAATCTTGTTTTTTTTATCAGACCAGAGAATCTTGTTTATCATGGTCTGAGAGTCCTTTAGGTGCCTTTTGGCAAACTCCAAGCTGGCTGTCATTTGCCTTTTACTGAGGAGTGGCTTCCGTCTGGCCACTCTACCATAAAGGCCTGATTGGTGGAGTGCTGCAGAGATGGTTGTCCTTCTGGAAGGTTCTCCCATCTCCACAGAGGAACTCTGGAGCCCTGTCAGAGTGACCATCGGGTTCTTGACCAAGGCCCTTCTCCACCGATTGCTCATTTTGGCCGGGCAGCCAGCTCTAGGAAGAGTCTTGGTGGTTCCAAACTTCTTCCATTTAAGAATGATGGAGGCCACTGTGTTCTTGGGGACCTTCAATGCTGCAGACATTTTTTGGTACCCTTCCCCAGATCTGTGCCTCGACACAATCCTGTCTTGGAGCTCTACGGATAATTCCTTCGACCTCATGGCTTGGTTTCTGCTCTGACATGCACTGTCAACTGTGGGACCGTATATAGACAGGTGTGTGCCTTTCCAAATCATGTCCAATCAATTGAATTTACCACAGGTGGACTCCAATCAAGTTGTAGAAACATCTCAAGGATGATCAATGGAAATAGGATGCATCTGAGCTCAATTTCGAGTCTCATAGCAAAGGATCTGAATACTTAAGTAAATAAGGTAGTTCTGTTTTTTATTTTTAATCAATTTGCAAAACCTTTGTAAAAACCTGTTTTTGCTTTGTCATTATGGGGTATTGTGTGTAGATTGATGAGGAAAACAAATAATTTAATCAGTTTTAGAATAAGGCTGTAACGTAACAAAATGTGGAAAAAGTGAAGGAGTCTGAATTCTTCCCAAAATGCACTGTAATTTAGCAGACGCTCTTATCACGCTGTAGTGCGATCAGACTTTTGATACCAATGCAGGCTGAAAGGGGGCCACAAAATTGTGAACCGCTATAAAGAAATGGTATAGAAAAGTATTTTGAAAATACAAATTACAGCTTTCGAATTTATCCTGCATTGGAGATGCAAAATGCATTGGAGTGTATTTCAGCCCAGTGTAATAATACAACATACAAAATACTCAGAAGTAATTAAAATACGTATTTCAAATACATGTAACAGAAACACTGCCCATCTCTGACCCCAACTAACCACTGACACTGTCAGAGAGAGATGATGTGAGCAAGACCCAGCCCTAACTAACTATTCATACTCGCTCAGAGAGAAAGAGATGAGACCCAACCCTAACCACTTAACGAGGGTCCAAGACATGTTTCACACTATTCAGCCTGAACCATACTGTGCAGGCTCGGATACATCTTATCACATTGTTCTTTCCAGCATGGCTGTTGTTATGACTGCCCACAACCGATCCCTCACCTTTAACCCCTGTAATACAGTAGGACCCTGGTATGTGACACCAGAGTCCAATTTTCCATTTTCGTTCAGTTGCTTCCACCACTCACTCAATTTCATTGCCCTCGAGGGAAGCTTCTGTATGACCACATTATCTGTCAGCCCAAAATTCATGATCTCATCAAGCATCTCCTGTGTGTTATTGGTGGACAGAAAATCCACGAGTCTGAGCATGAGGGTCGCGTGAAGATGGACATGGTGCTGGTGGCTGCAGAGGTCTTACTGCAGAACGGAGACCAGGAGACCAGGAGCAACACCCACGCCAGGCTCAAAGAGCTCAAAGCATTATGGGAGGAGACCTGCACCTACATCATCCACTGCCACAGGTAGTTAACCCATGATCTCTTCCATGACCTCCAATGACCTCTGTGGCAACTGAAAAGGGCAGTTCAATTACTATGTCTCCTTAAAAAGGAACTGCCATGAGTTTTATTGTCTGTCACATCAGTAAATATTACACACACATGGGTAATATATGCATGAGGGAATACATTCCATTTGTCCAGTTAAAGAGATTTGATTGTTAATGGCATGGCAGAAGGCCTTGTTTTTGTTTAGGCCGTATATACACCGTTTTCTAAGGTCTTTCTTTGTTTTTCTATGGTCTATCATTACACTTCAACCCACCCTACTACTCTCTCTTTCCCAGCCGGATAGAGTGGGTGTGGCTGCACTGGAGTGAGTACCTGAAGGCGCATGAGGAGGTTGAGATGTGGCTGGTCCGCGTGCGTCGCAGTCTGGAGCCGGAGGTGGAACTACAGCTGGGGGTGAAGGAGAAACTGTGGCAGGTGAGCGAACACACCTGACACTGGCCTAGGTGTCAATAATAGTGATGTCTATGTTTAGCCAGGGGAAGAGAGGTCTGGAAACTCTAGAGTGTGAGTGAAGAGGGTAGGCCGTGGTTCCAACGGATACTGACTATAAAGTAATACTACTGATACCATATCAGAAGGCCAACTGTACTGCCATATTTTGAGTCTGGCTGTTTGGTCATAAGGAATAATAAACCTAGCTACATCAAGCTAGCCTTCAAATGCTGCCAATCATTCCTATAGAGAGCGCATAAACCGATGCACACAATAGCTAACGTGTGTGTCTTCCAGGTGGACCACCAGCATGTCTTGCTGAGTGACGTGCAGAGCCAGGCGCTGCTGTTGGAGAGGCTGTTGGACGAGGCTGCAGCACTGCACAACCGTACCCAGGACCCCAGTGTGGACCAGGAGGCACAGGAGAGACTGCAAGAGGCATACAACAGCATACGGGACAGGGCTGAGGTGTGTGTGTGCAGTATAATGGAGGCTTTCTGATGACTCTCGTACAAAATTTCCATCTATCCCCTCAAATTCTCTGCACAAAACCCAAGCTAGCATTCCTGTATAGAGCTTAGAGGCCTTCACAGGTCCAAAAAGTTGGACCGAGAGTTTGGACCCGTTGCGAAATGGACCTGGGGCTTTCTCACTTGGACCCAATATGCATGAATACATTTGTTAAATATAGAGACCCGTTCCGAATGCACCCGAGGACAACTAGATCTGTTCCGTATAGACCTGGTCGGATCCAGATCCGGTCCGATCTGCTACTTTGTTAACCGGAGCTGATAAAGCACAAGGGAGAGGAGTTAGAGAGAGGTGATGGTCTAGGGGCTGTACTGTGTGTGTAGGCTACTGTGAGTGTGAGCAAGTGACATGGTGAGCAGGGAGGACGGAGAAAGAGACGAGAGACAGCAACCAACCAAGCCGACTCGCGCTATAGTAGACTAATAGCTGCCATAGCTAGGTTATTTATCATCAAATATGATTACGTATTACCTGTCTTGACTGCATCAAACCGGGAGAAGCTAGTTAAGCTAGCTAGGCTAATGGAGGCATGCGCTTTCTCGTCCTACACAGCTACGAACAAGAATAACTCCATTCAGAATATTAAGTAGCAGCCAACCTGTTGGCACTTGGTTGTTGTAGCCTATCCTTCTCCTTTAACTTTGAATTCCGCCATTTTAATTCAATTTTCCATTGATTAGATATTTAACTTTTGCCACACATGGAGGCTCTATGACTGTAGCCTATTGCCGCTTTGATGACTTATGATTGGCCAACAACAAGCTACACGCGCCACTCTTGTGAAAAGCAAGTGCAGCAGCAAAAATGATTACATCTATTTCTCTGTACTGCAGCAGTCGCATTCGGATCTGTACTGGTCCTTCCGGACAAGTCAGTTAAAATTACACATACCCGAGATCCGTGACAATCATATCTAACCCAGACCCGTCACATGATTAGAATTTTGGATCCAGACCCGGGTAGGAGTAGGCTATATAGCGAACACAATAGAATGATTGAAACCATGTTGCTGTTATTGAGTGGTGTTATTCACATCCAGACAGGCTGCAGGGTACAGTAACTCACTTCTAGGTTCTCAGATTCTAGTAACTTTAGTTTCTGAGCGTTGTTGGTGAATACTCTTCCATTTGTGCCGAGCTTCTTTTGTTGTGGACTTTCTTTTTCTGTAGTCACACAATCAAGGCAATGCCGTTCCTGTTTCTTTCTGTGTTTCATCTAGCTCTTTGAAACATCTTACAGTCCACAACTGTCCTCTCCTCTCCCTGTCTGTCTCTACTTTCAAAGGCGCTCCTCGCCCGTTTGAACATGCTTAGCTCATGGCAGAGCCGTGCGTTTGGTCCAAAGGGGGGATATCGTTCTAATGATTTATATTCTCTTTCACATGGAGGCTGTTGCTCAAAAGAGGAGAACATTTGTTCCCCTACTCTTTGAAAGTAGCTAGAACCAGCTAGTTCTACAGTGCCTTCAGAAAGTATTCACACCTCGTGACTTTTTCCACATTTTGTTGTGTTACAAAGCGGGATTACAATGGATCTACACAACATACTCTGTCAAAGTGGATTCAATAAATTATACATTTGTGAAGAATTCATGAAAAACAAAACGCTAATAGATCTTGATTAGATAAGTATTCAGCGCTCTGAGTCAATACATGTTAGAATCACCTGTGGCAGCGATTTTACAGCTGTGAGTCTTTCTGGGTAAGTCTCTAAGAGCTTTCCACACCTGGATTGTGAAACATTTGCCCATTTTATTATTTTCAAAATTGTTCAAGCTCTGTCAAGTTGATTGTTGATCATTGCTAGACAACCATTTTCAGGTCTTGCCATAGATGTATAAGCCGATTTTAAGTCAAAACTGTAACTACGCCACTCAGGAACATTCACTGTCTTCTTGGTAAGAAATTCCAGTGTAGATTTATTTATGTTTTAGGTTATTGTCCTGCTGAAAGGTGAATTAATCTCCCAGTGTCTGGTGGAAAGCAGGCTGAACCAGGTTTTCCTCTAGGATTTTCCCTGTGCTTTCTCCAAACATACCCATAACATGATTCAGCCACTACTACTATGCTTGAAAATATGGAGAGTGGTACTCAGTAATGTGTTGTATTGGATTTGCTCTAAACATAACGCTTTGAATTCGGGACCAAAAGTTAATTGCTTTGCCACATTTTTTTGCAGTATTACTTTAGTGCCTTGTTGCAAACAGGATGCATGGTTTGGAATATTTATATTCTGTACAGGCTTCCTTCTTTTCACTCTGTCAATTAGGTTAGTATTGTGGAATAACTACAATGTTGTTGATCCATCCTCAGTTTTCTCCTATCATAGCCACTCTAACTGTTTTAATGTCACTATTGGCCTCATGGTGAAATCCCTGAGCAGTCTCCTTCCTCTCCGGCGACTGAGTTAGGAAGGACGCCTGTATATTTGTAGTGACTGGGTGTATTGATACACCATCCACAGTGTAATGAAAAACTTCACCATGCTCAAAGGGATATTCAATGTGTGCCTCTTTTACACATCTACCAATCGGTGCCCTTCTTTGCGAGGCATTGGAAAACCTCCCTGGTCTTTGTGGTTGAATCTGTGTTTGAAATTCACTGCTCGACTGAGGGACCTTACAGATAATTGTATGTGTTGGGTACAGAGATGAGGTAATCATTCAAAAATCATGTTCAACACTATTATTGCCTACAGAGTTAGTCCATGCAACTTATTTTGTGACTGTTAAGCAAATGTTTACTCCTGAACTTATTTAGGCTTGCCATAACAAAGGGTTGAGTACTTATTGACTCAAGACATTTCAGCTTTTAATTTTTAATGAATTTGTAAAAATGTCAAAAAACATAATTCCACGTTAACATAATGGGGTATTGTGTGTAAGCCAGTGACATAAAATCTCAATTTAATCAATTTTAAATTCAGGCTGTAACACAACAAAATGTGGAATAAGTCAATGGGTGTGAATACTTTCTGATGGCACTGTAAACTAATAGGCCCTCACTGAATAAGATTCTATTCTACTATTCACCAAATACTCCAATGGGTTTCCTTTATTCAAGGCAATACGCGTGTTCTGTATCTACTGCATATTGATATGGTTTTCTTTCATTTTATTATTATCCCTGTCTGTAGCTCTGTTTATTATCATAGAGCATTTGTTGTTGCTTTTTCTAAAAGTTTTCTTGCAACCTTTTCGTCTTATCTTTTAAACTACAGAATGCCATTTTCACATACTGTATGTAGACCCTGGAATGGTGCTGGAGATGATGCGTAATATAAAAAGTGGTGGATTTCCCCTTCAACAGGAGAGGCTGTCGGTGCTGCAGAAGATAGCTGAAGAGCACCAAATGTACCAGAGTTACGTCCTGAAGTTCCAGGCCTGGCTGGTGTCCAAGGCTAAGGAGCTGAACACCCTTATTGAGACAGAGGACACAGCCGAGAACAAGCTCAGATCCCTACAGGTGAGAATAGTACACCCTAGTCACACGACTCCTGGGAGGGACAGATGAGAGTTCAGCCTAGTCACATCACAGTTCTTTTATTCATCTCTTTTCTTTGCCGTCTGTTTAAAAAAAACAAAAAAACAAAAACAATTTTATTGTTTTATTGTAAAGTTTGTTGCGATTTTTAAATGCACTTTGAATGAAGTTTGAGAAGGGTGGAGAATAGTGACACCGCCTAACTCTCTCTCCTCTCCACTCTGTCAGACCCTGGACGACAGTGTGGCCAGTGAAGAGCGGATGCTGCAGCACATTGAGGGCATGGCAGAGGCGGTGCGGGCCAACACGTCCCCCGGGGGGGCGGCGGTGGTGGAGGAGGAGGCGGAGGAGCTTCGTTTGGCCTGGCAGAGGCTCCGACAGAGCCTGTGTGAGGCCGGGGAGGGCCTGAGGAGCAGCCTAGACTCCCAGAGCCAGTACCAGAGCCGCTGCCAGCGCCTGGGGGAGGACATCGCGCAGCTCCAGGCCCTGCTCCACAGACTGACCAGAGACCTGGAGACAGCCATGGAGGGAGACAGGACTGAGGAACAGATGGTTGGGCAATGGAGGAAGTACATGGTAGGTTTTATACACGCTCTCATTCTCGTTCTATCTCTCACTCTCATTTTCTCTCGCTCTCTTCCTAATTTCATTTCCTTGTTGTCTTCCTCTACCCCTCTCTCTCCAGTCTTCCCTCTGCCTTTCTTTTTAGACCCTTCTCTCTTCCACTCTTATCTCCTTCCCCTTCCTTGTTCATTGCTTTCTTTTTCTCTTTCAATGTCTCTCTGTCAATTTCACTCCTCAACCCTATGGCTTACAGCTTTAGTTACTAGCTATAACAAGGGTCGGACACGGCATCGGCAGTTGCTCTAACTATTACCTTGCAGGAATTTGCCCTCTGGCTACATGCTTGGGAGAGGTGTGGTGGAGATGACATAGAAGATAATGGTTGTGGGCTGGTATTGTATCCTCACAGTCAAAATGTAGCTGTTGTGTGCAGGTGTTGTGGGGCAGGTTCCCACAGTCTATGGATTTGTATTGATTGTCTGAAGTGGCTTCCTTCCTCTTCTAATCTCCTTCAATTCAATGATGTCAATTAATTGGACAGATGCAAGGAAATGCCTACATAAGCTTTCAATACATTGCTTTTACCTGTCCTGTGTTTTCAGATCAGATCATAGGGCTTTAGTGAAAAGTAGTGCACTATGTAGGGAATAGCGTTCCATTTAGGACTGTAGATGATGGAGAGGAGATGAGGCTCGGAAGCTACAGTAGATTATTGAGATCGGTCTGAAAAACAAAAGCTAGCAGAAGAGTGAAAGGATTAGTATAGTCATTTTATCCCAGTGTCTAGACCAGGTCCCAGATTCACAAAACCTTCTTAAGAAGACATTTCTTCTTAACTGCCATTTTTTTCTTAACTATAGACTTAAGAAGGAAGTTAAGCAAAGTTGCTGTTCCTCAAAAAGGTTATTGGAAAATGTATTGCGCTATTTCTTACAGTATGTTTCTCCTTAAGCAAAAAGTTAAGAAGAAATGTGATTCTTGAAAATAAAGTTATTGGAAATGTTCTTAATTCCAAGATAGCTAAACCCTTGCCTTAAACTCAGGGCAATGAGAGAAAAAGCTCATGAAAGCAATTGAACATGTTTAATTCACACACAAACTTAATCTGAAAGTTTCAGTATTAATTATTTTAAACCCAAGAACATGTTTTAGAACAGTAATCTCAGTAAGAAATATGCTAACATGATTGCCATTGCTAGCTAGATAGCTAGCTAAACGGTTGCCTAGCAACAAACATCTTAAGAAGATTTGTAAGAATGTATTTGAGAAGTTCGTAAGAAAATCAGTTAATCTTAAGATATTGCTGAGGAATTGCACATATGAACTTATTTTTTTGCAAAACCTTATCAATTAAATGTTAAATGCAAAGTAGGCTTACCTGACATAACTATATCAAGATTATTTGTATCAATTGGGTGGGGATTGTTTTGCAAACTCTGCCATGAAGTGCTGCAGCAGAATTGTGTTGTTCAACAACACATACTGTATTTTCTAAGAGTGTAGGCCTAACAGCAGAAACATCGCCAGACCGAAACATTTCTCTCTAGACTTCAAAAATAGTCTTCTGATGTGATTTAAGCATTGACATGGACATCCATTTTCATTGTTTCTCTATGAATAATTATCAAAAACCAGGAAAAATTCAACCGAGAAAATATAATTTTAGGGGGCCCCCTTAGAATTGTTGATTAACCATTATTTTACCAGGTGTATTGACAGGAAAATATATTGTACACCAAGGACCCATGGAAGAGGTGCAGGGTAGAGTAGAAGAGATTCGTTTTTTATTTTTTTTGCTATAAAAAAAAAAAGAGTAGCTCGCAATGTTTCAATTTGTAAAAGTAGCTCTCATCCTAGAAAAGGTTAGAGACCTTTGATCTAGACAAATGCACTTAACAAATTACAGCATCAGAGGCCTCTTGGTGCCTGCTGCTTTCATTCCACTGAGGTCAATTTCACCCTTGTCAAGGAGGATTGCAATAGTGGTTTAAAATTGCTTGACATTAACATGAATTACGTCAAGTTTAAACATTTCCTCTTCTATGGGAGAAAGGTCTTGTATAAAAGTTTAACTCTGGCACTAAGGAGGAAATTAAGTTAGTGTTTATCCCAATTTGGTTGTTTTTGTTGTTGGTGTGTGCTTTGTGTGTAGAGAGCGAGTTGCCAGGTGCCCAGGCTGGTCTCTGTGATAGGTTTTTAAACAATTGTTCTGATTTTCCCTTTTGGTATTCCCCCTCTCAGAACGTCCGGAATACTCTGTCAGCAGAGGAATCCCAGGTGGAGAACCTCAAGGCCCAGCTTAAAGAACTCTTCCGCTTTTCCCAAGATTCACGGCATCTCTCTGACGATGTCCTGGCTGTGGTGAAGGAGCACCAGAGGTGAGTGGACACTCAGAGCGCCTCACAGTGTAGAAGAAGAGGGGCGATGGAGAGGAAGATGCGTTTTCAGACTATTGAGATTTTAAAAAAAATTAAAGCTCTGCGAGTGCTTTTTCTATTTAGACTATTGCCATTCACCTTTACAGGGATGGTTCAGCAGAATTTGCTTAAAGTCCAGGGAGCAGATAATGGACCTTATCAGATACACTATACAGTGGGGGGAAAAGTATTTAGTCAGCCACCAATTGTGCAAGTTCTCCCACTTAAAAAGATGAGAGAGGCCTGTAATTTTCATCATAGGTACACGTCAACTATGACAGACAAATTGAGAAAAAGAAATCCAGAAAATCATATTGTAGGATTTTTTATGAATTTATTTGCAAATTATTATTGGGTGAGATCTCAGCAACAAGCAACATCTCACCCTGTGGGGTCAAAATGATCACAAGAACGGTGAGCAAAAATCCCAGAACCACACGGGGGGACCTAGTGAATGACCTGCAGAGAGCTGGGACCAAAGTAACAAAGCCTACCATCAGTAACACACTACGCCGCCAGGGACTTAAATCCTGCAGTGCCAGACGTGTCCCCCTGCTTAAGCCAGTACATGTCCAGGCCTGTCTGAAGTTTGCTAGAGTGCATTTGGATGATCCAGAATAGGATTGGGAGAATGTCATATGGTCAGATGAAACCAAAATAGAACCTTTTGGTAAAAACTCAACTCGTCGTGTTTGGAGGACAGAGAATGCTGAGTTGCATCCAAAGAACACCATACCTACTGTGAAGCATGGGGGTGGAAACATCATGCTTTGGGGCTGTTTTTCTGCAAAGGGACCAGGACGACTGATCCGTGTAAAGGAAAGAATGAATGGGGCCATGTATTGTGAGATTTTGAGTGAAAACCTCCTTCCATCAGCAAGGGCATTGAAGATGAAACGTGGCTGGGTCTTTCAGCATGACAATGATCCCAAACACACCGCCCGGGCAACGAAGGAGTGGCTTTATAAGAACCATTTCAAGGTCCTGGAGTGGCCTAACCAGTCTCCAGATCTCAACCCCATAGAAAATCTTTGGAGGGAGTTGAAAGTCCGTGTTGCCCAGCGACAGCCCCAAAACATCACTGCTCTAGAGGAGATCTGCATGGAGGAATGGGCCAAAATACCAGCAACAGTGTGTGAAAACCTTGTGAAGACTTACAGAAAACGTTTGACCTGTGTCATTGCCAACAAAGGGTATATAACAAAGTATTGAGAAACTTTTGTTATTGACCAAATACTTATTTTCCACCATAATTTGCAAATAAATTCATTAGAAATCCTTCAATGTGATTTTCTGGAGAAAAAAATTCTAATTTTGTCTGTCATAGTTGACGTGTACCTATGATGAAAATGACAGGCCTCTCTCATCTTTTTAAGTGGGAGAACTTGCACAATTGGTGGCTGACTAAATACTTTTTTTCCCCACTGTAATCTGATTACAACAAAACTGTAATCAGTTACCTTACCAACAAAAATATTGTAATCAGATTACATATACTTTTGAAAAACTAGATGATTACTTATTGGATTACATTTAAATTCTGAAGAAGAAAAAAAAGACATTTCTCACTAGCTAGGTTTCTATCCAATTGGCGACAGATTTCCATGTGAATATTCTAAAATCTGCATAAAACAATTTTCCCACGAGATGTGTTTCCATCAAATTGACTTGTTGCGGATAAAAGGCTGTACGTGATGACGTAGTGCACATAAAAATAACTTTTGCTGTAAAATGTCCATGTACTGAATAAAAAAATCAAAGTTAAATGGGTTTCCATCGCATTTTCAACTGTACTGATGGTTTTGTCACCAAAAATGTTGCGTTATATCGAAAGTGCCCACAATGTATTGGCACGTGCGCTCTAGCCAACAGCTCGCAGATACAGTGCGTGTATAGCATACCTACATGATTAAATTATTATGGACAAAATAGTATTTTTATTTGTCAAACGGCAGCCAAGCATCGATCATCATGTCACCAGAATAAGACCCTTGATATTTATTGGAATAGGTTATCAAGCTCATTACTGTGCACTTTCACCACCCTGTGAAGTTCATCATAACTTAATTAATCTGTAGCCGAATGCTGCGTTCGAAAATACAACTTTGTTTCATTCATGTGCTTTTTGGTCGGAACAATTCTTCAACCAATAAGATATTAGCTAGCTTGATAAGCTAGCTAACATTGTTTATAATAAAGTTAGCTAGCTTGCTTAACATTGACAATATTGTAGTTGTCAAAAACTGATTTGTTATCATCTTTTGGTTGAAAAGGTACAAGGTCAGTGGTGAAACGTCACAACTAGGCAACAAGGGGAACAACATTTTCTCAGAGTTTCCCACTTATAATTCCAACTTGGAGGGTTGTTCAAGTGAAACTTCTCAGTCAGAACTAGGAACTTCCAAAAACTCAGATAGCACGTGAACGCAATATAATAAACTGCGTGACTCCAAGTTTACTTTGATATGATGGTTAGCAAGATAGCAGAAACAGATCTGAGTACCACTTACAAAACTACTTGCTGAAATTATACAAAAGTTCTGGAGCGTCACATTACAAAAGTAACTGAAAGTAATCAGATTGCGTTACTAAATTTGGGTAATCCAAAAGTTGTTACAGATTACAATTTTGGACAGGTAACTATTAACTGTAACAGATTACATTTAGAAATTAACCTACCGCACCCTGGTCTGTAGAGGTGAAGGCCTTGAGGCTATAAAACATGTGTATCTAATAGGCTATCTGGAGACTATATCATGCATAGTCCATGAAGCTTTCTCTTCCTGTTGACTGACAGAAAGAGTGGGTGTATGAAGTAAAGGTTTTTCGCTTTGGCACCTTGCTGAAGATTTGTTCAAGACAGAGGATACTATTTCACCTAAGTCAAACTCTATTCAGGGACAGCTTGTTGGCTGAATGCCCAAAAACACTGTTTACCAGAGCCCTTTATCAGCTGTCGACTATCAATATATCCTCTTCGTGCAAACAAAGGAACTACAAAGGCTTCTGAATCTGACCAGAATATGAAATGTAAATACGTCTCTTATGATGACCTGCTCTTATAGTTTACTTTAAGTTAACTTTATTGTTACTTGGTGTCCAAAAGTACATTTTCACGATCTGATGATAGTGTTAGTCAGTGTGATTACTTTCCATGTTCTCTCTCTCTGCCAAAGGAAAAAACCCATTAACCCATTCAGTTGACGCATGTTTATAGTAACACGTTTGAGAACACATAGAACGTGTGTTAATCCTAAACTTTGGCACATGTAGCATGTTTTCTAGCACTGGAAACAGCTGTTGATCTATTTTAACTATCAATGACTTCATCACATGAACTGGTGTGTAGTGCTGTCAGAACGCTGCGTGTGGATGTGGTGCAGGGAATCAAGCGCAGGAACCAGGGTGTTCGTCAACAGACTTTAGTATATCCAAAAACAGGAATGAGTCGCCAACCCAACCGGGTGGCACGAACAATTACGCACAACAACAACAGTGCGAAATACAAGAAAAAGCGCACGCAGTGCGAACTCTCAAATACAACGTTATGAGAGAGGAAACTCCTCAATGGCAACAGCTGACAAATAATAATCACACATAACACCTGACCCAACACACGATAACTAAATAGGAAACAAAATCAAAGACTAACAAGGGACAGGTGTACAACCAGACAAAACCAAACAAACATGAAACATCGAACGGTGGTAGCTAGTACTCCGGGGACGACGACCGCCGAAGCCTGCCCGAACAAGGAGAAGGAGCAGCCTCGGCCGAAACCGTGACAGTACCCCCCCTCCAGCCGTGCGCCGATCCCGGCCTCGGGGACGACCAGGACGACGCGGAGCAGGGCGCGTAGGATGACCCCGATGGAACTCGGTCAGCAGGGACAGGTCTAATATGTCCCTCCTCGGCACCCAGCACCGCTCCTCCGGGCCGTACCCCTCCCACTCCACGAGATATTGGAGACCCCCCATCCGGCGTCTCGAATCAAGGATGGACCTCACAGTGTACGCCGGAGCCCCCTCGATGTCCAACGGGGGCGGAGGAATCTCCTCTATCTCATAATCCTGGAGTGGACCAGCTACCACCGGTCTGAGGAGAGACACATGAAACGAGGGGTTAATATTCCTGTACTCAATAGGCAGTTCTAACCTGTAACACACCTCGTTCAACCTCCTCAGGACTTTAAATGGCCCCACAAACCGCCGACACAGCTTCCGGCAGGGCAGGCGGAGGGGCAGGTTTCTGGTCGAGAGCCAGACTCGATCTCCAAGTGCGTACACAGGCCCCTCACTGCGGTGGAGATCGGCGCTCGTCTTATGCCGACGGATGGCCCGCTGCAGGTGAACGTGGGCAGCGTTCCACGTCTCCTCCGAGCGCCGCACCCACTCATCCACCGCAGGGGCCTCGATCTGGCTCTCGTGCCAAGGTGCCAGAACCGGCTGGTACCCTAACACACACTGGAAAGGGGTTAGTTGGGTGGAGGAGTGGCGGAGAGAGTTCTGCGCCATCTCGGCCCACGGAACGTATCTCGCCCACTCCTCCGGCCGGTCCTGGCAATAAGACCTCAGAAACCTCCCCACATCCTGGTTGACACGTTCAACCTGCCCATTACTCTCCGGGTGGTAACCCGAGGTAAGGCTCACCGAAACCCCCAACCGTTCCATAAACGCTCTCCACACTCTGGAGGTGAACTGGGGGCCTCGATCAGACACTATATCCTCGGGTACCCCGTAATGCCGGAAGACATGGGTAAACAGAGCCTCAGCGGTCTGTAGGGCAGTAGGTAGACCCGGCATGGGTAGGAGACGACAGGCCTTCGAGAACCGATCCACAACGACCAGGATGGTAGTATTCCCCTGTGAGAGGGGAAGGTCTGTAACAAAATCCACCGAGAGGTGGGACCAGGGTCGTTGTGGAACGGGCAGGGGTTGTAGCTTACCCCTGGGCAAATGT